ATGAGGAAATAAAGTAATAGTGAGTAGAAACACTTATAAAATGATTGAGTTAACAAAAAGCTGAAAAGTGTGTGTGGTTTAGATTTGTGGGGTCTTCTTTCGTCCCTACTCCTTTCCATCGGTTTAATTTATTTTTTCTATTTCTAGTAGTGCCTAATGGTTGGCCCTCCATAGATCGTTTACCCTCAGTACGCTTTTCCCACACGACACGTGGGACCCATATCCGAGTAATGTATTTTATTACTCGAGATACTGTACGGCAGGTTTTTTTGCCATACAAAATTATGTCTTAGGTTGATTTCAACTCTTTTGAACAACCCGTCTTATTTTTATGTAAATACAAATAAAGATTGTTTCCTTGTTTCTAATAAATACATGGTAACTTTTGGAGAGAGCCCCGAGAACTGATAGAAAACTGTAATTTAAGTTAACTTCAATAAATGCCCGCGGTATCAACACAGCTTGTAAAAGGTCTATAATTTTAGATTTCTTGATAAAAAAAAATCGGGTAAAAGTCAGTGCCCTTTAAGAAACCCATTGGACAAAATCCAATAAAAATCCAATAGGCTCCTCCCCCGATTTCAATACCTGTTCCGAACTTTACCACTCCAGGTGCCCCTATCCTACTTCAAGGCCACACAAAAAGAAATAAACAGATTTGTCTGAGGAGGGGGCACGGCTAGGGTACAGGGGACAATATTAAGAGCTCTGAAAAAACAGGGGGACTTCGCCCTCCCTGACATCAAAGCCTACTACCAGGCGGTGGTGTTGACGACTATACTGCCCCATCTTCTAGACATACAACCCCCTCAGTGGGTAACAATAGAGAAACAATCATTTAAGCCATTCGATATACCCACAATGCTGTGGCTCCCCAAAAGGTTCCGACCACCCGTACCCCTTCTGCCAGAGCAAGTTAAACTCGCTTTACGGGTATGGGACGCGAAGAGACACAACCTAGAAAGCCCTACCCCATTATCACTGGCTACCCCACTCCAAATCCTAACATATTGTATACCAACGTTTAATGCCAAACCATGGATTGATAAGGAGGTCACGCACCTCTCCCATTTGACCACACGCCATAAACTGAGATCATTCCAAGACATGCAAGAGACACACCACATACCAAAAGCATCGCAATTCTCACATATACAATTAAGCTCCTTTATGGCTAAAAGGGATAATCAGCCCCGCCCCCCCCCAGAGAGGACCGACTTCGAACTAGGGATGACAGGATGGGAGCAAATAGCAATTAGAGGCTTGTTACCAAGGGGATGCTTACCTCTGTCCTGGTGTTACCGATTCCTCCAGTCTTTCACACATTTTGCAGACTCCATACAAGCGGCACAGTGGGCATTAGACTTACAGTGCACCATGACGAGAGAGCAATGGTATATGGTCCCCACACGAATCCACAAGAACTATCCAAACTCGTCCCCGAAATTCTAGAGATGTGGGCAGCAGGCGGGTACAGTGCTATATATATGGTGGAACTGCACTCTCATCTCTGGCTTCTGGGAAGCCATAATTAAACTAACACGGGACATTACTCACACACAGGTACCCCTGACACTGGAGACGTGCCTCCTGCTGCACATGCCACCTGGCATACCTGCAGTAGTACAAAAACTAACTTTTCACATCCTCCTGATGGCGATAGCACGCCTATGGAAAACCACAAGCCCCCCACGGATCACAGAGGTGTGCGAGGAGGTAGACACACAAAAAATATATGAAACAAGCTACCGTAGTGTCTTCCCTATGACCAAAATAGCAATAGAGGCCGGGGGGCTCTGGAACTCCTGGAAAGCGGGCACTACTGGCCACAGCTCATAACTTGGTAAAAAATAGGGCTAAGGCCTAGCTGATTACCTATCATCATCAAATAGCCACAAACCAACCAGGTGGCACCTGGGAGACGATATGTAAACCACAATGGAGCAAACGAATATGTAACTGAAAAACATATACCTCTGTAAATGAATGTGATGATGAAATGTACTGTACATGCTGGTCACCAATGGAAGAGCCATATATGTACCGAAGGGGCGACCATGAGGCTGTATGTTTCCCTCCCCTTCCCCCCCTTCTTTTTCCCTTTTGTACCCCAACTCCACCCCACCTGAAATGTTAAAGAAAAACTCAATAAAAATCTTCAATTGAAAAAAAAAATCCAATAGGTTCAACAAGATTCCCCACCATTATAAGTGCGGCTTTGAAAAAAAAAAAAAAAAAAAAAGAGGTGTGGCATTCATGTTTGCAAAAAATGTTTCCTTAAATATTAAATATGAAGAACTTGACCCAGAAGGCCGATACATTATTTTAATATGTGAAATAAACAAGAAGCTATTTACACTGGCTAACATTTACGCACCAAACAAATCTACAATAAACTTTATTACAAATGTTTTTCAGAAAATAGAGCAGATTAAGCAAGGGTTGGTACTAATTATGTGGGACTTTAATTGCGTAATTGACCCCTTGAAAGATAGAAAAAGCCAGAATGATCGAAGATACAGCACTTAAAATTCTGGGGGGGAAAGATTGCCCATCTACCGGCCTCGTGGGCTTTTTGGAGGGAACACCGGTTGGGGTCCCAACTTTAAGCCCACAAAGGGTGCACTCGGGGATGCCCGGGGGTGGGGAGGGCAGTGAGTGAGAACTGGGGGTATGGCTATTAACCCAAGCCAGAAGAAAATTGGAAACACAAAAACACTTGCCATATGAAAAATGTTGAGTTTAATTGTTTATTTTAATTTTATAATATAACAGTACAAGTAAAAGTTGACGGACTGTAACAAGGCACCACACCAATGTATACTGTCATTGCTACCTTAACATAATATGAAGGTATTCTGTAACACTGCATTGACTTTCAAAAGAATTGGCTTTTGTGCAAGCCTGAATATACCTGATATGCTACATCTCTGTCATTAAAAAATAAAGATAAAAAAGACCCTAAAAAAACTAAATGCATGATTGTGTTCATGCCTGTATATGGGATTTGTTTGATGTTTTTTTTGCCTGATGGCTATTTATTAACTAGCTATAACGTTTGGGAGGGACAATATATGTTTGGCTTGAGTTCTTTTTGCCCAGCAGTACTATTGTATAGTGGAAATAAGACACTATCACAAAATACTGATAACATAAGGTGCATAGGGTACGAGAGTGTAAAAGGACACTATAGGCACCAAGACTACTTCATGTAATTGAAGTGGTCTGGGTGCAGTGTCAAAGTCCCCTTAACCCTGCAATGTAAAACATTGTAGTTTTAGAGAAACCACAATTTTTTAATTGCAGGGTTAAGACTGCCTCTAGTGGCTGTCTCTCGAATAGCCACTTGAGGCGCTTCCTGCTGTTTATCTTCGTGAAACGATTCTAGATGTCCTTACGCTTTGCATGAGGGCCTCCAGCATCTTCTATTCACTCATAGGAAAGCACTGATTCAATGTTCTCCCATGAAGAAGGCCTGATGTGTGCTGCTCCCACCGCGCATACGCATTACGTCTGAGGAGGCAGAGATGGAGCCAGCACAGAGGTACCTCAGCGCCGGAAAGAGGTGAATATTTAAAAAGTTTTTTAACTCTTAATTGCAAGGGAGTGGGGGGGGGGGCAGACGGACACTTTAGTGTTTTATAGTGTTAATTTAACTCCTTAAGACCGGAGGTACATGTACATGGGGGGTACTGTTCTACTCGGGAGACTTCGCTGAACACAAATATTAGTGTTTCAAAACAGTAAAATGTATTACAACAATGATATCGCCAGTAACAGTGACGTTTTTTGCATTTTTCACGCACAAACAGCAATTACACGGACGATATTATTGCTGCGATACTTTTTACTGTTTTCAAACACAAATATTTGTATTCAGCGAAGTCTCCCGAGTACAACAGTACCCCTCATGTACAGGTTTTATGGTGTTTTCAAAAGTTACAGCATCAAATATAAGGCTTGCGTTTCATTTTTTTCATATTAAAATTCGCCAGATTGGTTACGTTGCCTTTGAGACCCTATGGTAGCCCAAGAATGAAAATTACCTCTATGATGGCATACCATTTGCAATAGTAGACAACCCAAGGTATTGCAAACGGGGTATGTCCAGTCTTTTTTAGTAGCCACTTAGTCACAAACACTGGCCAAAATTGGCGTTTTTTTGCATTTTTCACACACAAATACTAACGCCAACTTTGGCCAGTATTTGTGACCAAATGGCTACTAAAAAAGACTGGACATACCCCATTTGCAATACCTTGGGTTGTCTACTATTGCAAATGGTATGTCATCATGGGCGTAAATTTAATTCCTAGGCTACTATACAGTCTCAAAGGCAACATAACCTATCTGGCGAATTTCAATTTCAAATGTAACGTGCTATATTTGACCCTGTAACTTCCCAAAACGCCATAAAACCTGTATATAGGGGGTACTGTTTTACACGTGAGACTTTGCTGAATACAAATATGTGTATTTTATTGCAGTAAAAGCAAACAGTATTAAAATGTCATGTAGAACTAAAAAAATAACATAATTTCTTATTTTCTCCCATTTTTTCATATTAAATTATGTTTCATAGCTAAATATTTCATATTAAATGAAAGCCCTGAATAAAATGATATATAATAAGGGTGGGTGCATTTAATATGAAAGAGGTGTATTACGGTTGGACAGACATGTAGCGCAAATGCCAGGTTTTGTTTACATTTTGTTTTGTTCACAACGTGTACATTTGGCTCAGTCCTTAAGGGGTTAAAATATGTGAAAAAGCCTCGAACATAAAAACAACAACAAAAAAACGACAAAAACAAAACACAGTTTAACATTTGTATTGAAGGTGAAGCTTTTTCTCTAATGTCTTTGAAAGGTAGATGTACCAGCTTGAAGGTCTTTTACCTGTGTAACTTCTTCCAGAAGTTAAACAAAAAAAAAAGAAAAGTCAACAAAGATAAGAGTGGAGATTAATGAGTTGTGTTCCTGGGATCCTTCATTTGGTTGCAATATTTGTCTCGGCAGAGCAGAAAGACTGAGTGAAACAGGTTTATTTAAAATGAAGGAAATATTCATATTTGAAGGTAAGTTATCTTTGATTAGTGCAGCTTTAATTGCGTGTATAGGAACCTACTCTGATTCATTTGCCTCTGTGATGAGAGTTGTAGTCCACATCAGCCTGAAGAGAAATCGCTCGGTGTCTAGTCCAATGTATGTCTGTTGCTATGATCAAAAGCTATTAAAACAGTATGCAGCAATTGATTTAATTGTGTGAATGTTTATGTTGTCCGTTCTGAATAAATTGTATGTGCAGACACAGGAAGGTCGTAATATATTTCTAGGGACATTTATCTAAGATTTATAGAACAGGGGAGAGGAGGGGAGGGAAAGGAAACAAGAAATCACTGCAGTACAGAGTACAATGACATCTTCCATAAGTTGCTGAAGTTAGATAAATGTGCCACCAGCATTAGGTTTCCAATGGGTGTATTTTCAAAGGTGTTTCAATTTAGGCGTTTAATATAAAGATGGTAGCAAACTGTGTATTTACCAAGAGATCACACTCACGGGAAGGCACAGGAAGAGCTGGATCTGAATTTTACTACAGTATATCAGCCAAAAATACGGAAGACATATCCTTTAGTACCTTAAGTTAAGTTCCCTATTCATTCCATATTACAAATCACTAACAAACCCCAAAACCCTGCAAAGGAATCAAGGTAATAATATAATTTATTATAATGATAAACCTAAAATATTATGTATCTGCTAGATTCTTGATATATTTATAGAATATAAAACCCATCTAAACCTCTTCATCCTTACGAGTATTTTTGAACATGTAGTTACTGCTTGCTCAGCGAAATAGCTTGGTCATATGAATGTTCTCTGAAATGGAAAGTGAGCAAAATGCATGAGCCTTCGCCTGCAATCTAACGTAAACAAACTGCAAACCCTTTCAATAATATACATCAGCTCTTGAAAACTATCGGTGGAACATTCTTGTTGCCAAGCAAAGAATATTAGAAAATAATTGGACTGCCAGTATATCAAGTGACTCTACTACTTGAATCAAATTTATATCATTATTTTTCTGATAAATTTTAGTTGTCATAGTCTGGCATTATGCCCGGGCTGCTTTTGAAGACTAATGGTTATAGAATCCTTTAAACTATGATTTTAGACAAGAATTTCTTGCTTAAACCCTGAGTGTGAATTAACCGTAGGAAAGATTCTTTTTTTAAAATTTTGTTATGAATTAAAGGTCAGTACATACATTTATAAGAAACATAGAGAGAAGCAAAAAGGTTTGTTACAGTACATTATAGTACAGGCTCTGCGTGTGGGCACGCTCATGAACTGGCTTTGGACTATGAGAGGATCATGACTTCACTAAGATACAGTTAGGGGGTTTGTGTGTTGTGTGCCCCATGTCTGGCACATATTTATGGTAAGCTCATTTCACAAGACATGTTGGCAAGAATGTTTGCGATCTGTTGGGTGGGTTTGACCTCGGCCTTGTCTCGGGATGGCCCCTTTGAGGGTTTCTTATTGTTTCAGTTGTGAGTATGTAGTCCCTAGTTGTCAGGGTCTGTCTAAGGGTGGGTTGGTTCGTGAGTCTAGACTGCAGTTGAGTCGCTATTGGGTTAGGGCATTTGGTTGCCAATGCCTTGTCCTATCCGGGTACATGTCTGATCGTGATATGGTGGTAGTCCTTAGTTTGGCCTTAGATCTTTAGTCCTTATATTCTGTTTCTTGCCCGGAAGCCTGATAGAAAGGGATAGTAGGGGTAAGAATATGCATTAAGAAGGTTAGTGGGTCTTTACAGGCTAAGAGAGTAGAAGTATGAGTATCGTTAGTAGGAAGGAGTAGTTGACGGCTCCAATGTGGAGTGTGGCCGTCCTTTATTTCTCGTGGTCCCGCTCCCCCTCCACCCCCTGGAGTTAGTGTTGGAGTGGGAATGAGGGGCCAGGATAGGGGATTTGCATTGTGTTGCGGGTTGGAGTGGGTGGTATTAGGTGCCTAGCGTAAGGGAGAAATTTCAGGGTTGTTGGTCTAGAGATGCTAGTGGGTTTATTGCCAAGGTAGGGAGTGTTGCCTGTTAGCCACGGATCCCAGATTTTGTGGAAGGTTTTGGGTGTGTCTTGGATTTGGGATGTAAGGCTATCCATGTCTATTGAGTCTTGACTCCGATGACTGTCTATGTAGGTAGGCGTGTCTTTGACCACACCTCTCCTATTGCCCTACGTGTGGAAAGAGCCACTCTGACTATGAGTTTGTTTTCGGCGCGCATGAAGGGTTCTACAGGTTTGGAGAGCAGTAAGGCCAGTGGATCCATGGGGCATGTTTTTCCGAGAATTCTGGACAGGAGGGATGTGATGGCTTGCCATGTGGGTTTTAGTATTGGGCAGGTCCACCAGCAGTGATAAAATGTGCCTACCTCACCACACATTTTCCAACATAGGTTGGATGAGGAGCAGTGCATGATCGCCAGTCGTTGGGGCGTCAGGGACCACCAGAATAACAAATAAGTCCAGGTGGGAATAGCTTGTTTCTGAGAATGAGAGTAATGGGGGACAGGTATGAAGAGAGATCGTACCTGTCTCTTAGTTTGTCCCAGAGGTCCAGGGAGTGTGCAATCGTGGGAGCCATTGGTAGGGCTAGGGGGCAATGTTGTCGGGGAAGCCACATACATAATGATGGGTAGTCCCATCCAAAGATGGAATGTTGACTATCTACCCAGCGTTTCTTGTTGGGTGGTAGGTGCCATTGCTGTATCTGTGCGAGATGGGCCACGTAAAGATAGTGCAAGAGGTTAGGTAGTCCAAGTCCTCCCGATCTTCTGGGTACATATAAGGTATCTCTGCGGATTCTGGGTCTGGAACTGTTCCAGACAAATTAATTCACTGATACTTGCTGAGCTATCAGATCTGCTTTGCGGAACAGGCTAGGGACGGCCTGGACAATGTATAAAAAGCGAGGGAGAAGATTCATTTTTATAGAGGCAACACGGCCCATCCACAAGATTCCCAGTTTCTCTCAGGTTTTGAGATCTGTGTATGTGTTTTGTAAGAGGGTGGTGTAGTTAGCTTGATATAGGGTTGTTACATCATTAGGGAGTTGTATCCCCAGATATGGTATTAAGTGTTCGCATATGCGTAGGGAAAATGTGGTTCTGAGTGCAACATATTCTTCCTCACCTTGCAGTCTCTGCACCCAGCGGACATGCGTCAGCATGACTGATACTTGTGGCATGTTAATGGACGCCGGCCGCTGTGGATCCACGGCAAAATATCACGTGATTGACGATGTCGGCGTGCATGTGACATCAAGCACGGGCCACGCACGCATGTTTTGGGGTCAAAGAGCAATTTCAGCCAATCAGAATAATAAAGCAGGTATTTTTTTGACATGTACTTCATATTGCACTATTGAACCAAGTTACATTTGGTAAGCTTTATATGTGTTTGAGCGCTCCACTTATAGGTGTAGGTCTCTGTCACTTATACCGCACTGTTTTTTATGAGATCTTTAAATAGTTTTCTATCACCGTCAGCAGCATGGTTATAGACGTTGTGGGATTTGTCAGGGTGAGGAGGACGTCGTCTACATATGCAGAGACTTTGTATTGTAGTACTCTGATGTTGACTCCCTCAATCCCGGGACTGGACCGTATCACCTCCAGCAATGGCTCTAGGGATAAGGCAAATAGCAGGGGGAAAGTGGGCATCCCTGTCTCGTCCCGTTCGAGATAGTGAATCATGGTGGCGTTATGTTGGGTAGAAGTAATGCACCTTGGGGTTGGTGGTAGGTCACTTTGATGAAGGAGATGAATTCAGGGAGGAATGCGAGGTGTGAGGGTTTGGATCAAGAAAGGCCAGAGAAGGCGATCAAATGCCTTCTCGGCATCTAGGGAGATGATCGCTGATGGGATATGTCTATGTTGTGTGTACCAGATGATGTTGATGGCCCTGCGCATCTTATCTGCCGCTTACCTGTTGGGTATGAATCCTACCTGGTCAGAATGGATGAGAGATTCAAGGTAAGGATTGAGTCTGTTGGACAAGATTTTGGTCATTATTTTGAGGTCCACATTTAGTAGTGATATTGGGTGGTAGTGTCTCAGGTCGTCGTATGTCTTGTTGGATTTTGGTAAGAGGCATATGTTTGTTGTTGTCATGTCCGTGGGGAGTTTGTCGTTTTTCAGTAGTTAGTTGAATACTTTGCATAAGGGGGTAAGTAGGGAGGCGCTGAAGGTTTTGTAGTATAGGGCCACAAAGCCATCTGGTCCTGGACTCTTATTGTGTTTGAATGCACCTAGTGCTTTGGCCATTTCCTCCACTGTTGCCTCGGCCGCTAGTGTCTCTTTGGCTCGTTCATGAAGGGATCAGTGGCTTAGGTCCTTGAGGAAATTTACTGTGAGGACTTGGTTCTCCGTTGCCTTGGTGGGGTTGAGGGGGATGTGATTGTATAGGTTCTCAAAGTATCTTTGAAACACTTCCCCCATCTGTTCTGGGAAGTTACTGAGGGTTTCCTTTGGGGTGCGAACCTGCGAGATTCGTTTGGATTCTATGCAATGTTTTAGGTGCCGGGATAGCATGGAGTCTGCCTTATTTCCTTTTTCATAGTATTTTTGGTTGAGCCACATTAGGGCTTTTGAGGTATCGTGCAGGGTCAGTCGCCTTAGGAGATCCCTGGCGGCAGTCAAGGTGGTTGGTGTTGAGGGTTGTGGGTTCCTCTTGTGAATAGTCTCCAGCTGGTGTAGGTCCATCAAGGCTTCTGAGATTTGTTGGGTACGATTAGTTTCCCTTGGATTACTGCTTTGTGGGCTGCCCACAATGAGGTTGGGGATTTTGCTGTAGGGGTGTTTATCTCAAAGTATGTCTTGAGGTCCAAGTTAAGGGTGTCTACTATGTTGGTGTCATGTAGTAGTAGGGGATTCAGTCTCCAAGACCAAGGGCGGGTCAGATTGTGTATGGTTAAGGTTAAATTGATGTCCACGTGGTCCTACCATGTGATTGTGCCAATGTCTGCTTTTGTGACTTGTGATAGGACGTTAGGAGAGATTAGGGAAAGATTCTTTTTAAATTCTGCTTTTTCAAGGTAGGTGATGAAAAGGAATATCCTGCGAAACATCAAAGAAACAATATATGTACATGCAAATATGCCATCAGATACACTTGACTTGAAGATTTTTAGTTTCAATATAAAAAAAAATTACATGAAAAAAAAAATACCTGTACCCAATATAGATTTTTAATACTTCAAGAGACATGGACCTCATCCAGAATAGCTACATGAGGGAGGGAGAAAGAAAAAGAATAGTGGCTACATGCATCCAAATAGCAATATTTATGACAAATGAGTAGATACCAAATTAAATCAACAATTGTATCACAAAGGATTGATGCAGGGCAGTCTGATTGGTTTTGCACTACCAGGAGCACTTAATCACAGACAGACAAAATGAGCTAGTTACATTTTGCCTGCAGTCATCCTATCATTTCATGTTTCTTAATAATGATTTACATGGAAGCCTTACATTGTCCTGCCTCCTTTATCTTTTAAGTCTCATGGGAAAAGGAACCTGCTCTTGTGAACATTCAGGTCATTCATCTTTTGTCTTCTTTTCATATCCATAGCATGCGCAACTAGGAATTTGTACCTTTACCACATTTGCAAATAGACACACGGATACACAATTTAACAGGGCTCAAAATTCCAATTTGCCACTAGCAATTGTGAAGAGAAAATGTAGCCCAGGTGAATATAATCCCATCTTTATGAGTGTTATATGAAACCTCCAGACTTGCAACGATGAGCACTTTGTGTTCTGAGCACCAAGAATACATGGATTTATGAGTCCTAGGCCTGTACCCAGGAAATTCAGATATGTCCAGATTCAGACTTGAGGGAGGACCATAATCTAAGCACCATAATCACTACACCCTGCAGAAGTTGTTATCGTGCCAGCAGATCTGTGGCTCCACCCTTCTATTTTGTTGCAAACTATTTTTATGTATAAATTCCACTATCACAATATCCTGAGGGGCCAGTTCACAGAAGCCCAGGGACATTGGATGATGTTTGAAACATAACCTGCAAGAGGCACAATAGTGGTTATGGTATTTAGAGTACCCCCCTCAACATCTTTGGTAATAGATCATGTGACCATAGGCCTGAGATAAATATTAAGTGTATGTCACAAATATACCATGTATGTGCATGACTTTCTAATTAGATTATAAAATATTTGCTCCTTAAATAGATGTGTTATGGTTTAAAGTATCTCCATGGCTATTCCCTATAAGACTTATAATTAACTTCACATACCAACTGCAGTGCGGTCAACCAATGACTATACTCCAAGAATATATATGTACAATCATGATCATATGGTAAGATAAATACATCAAAAAGAAATATTGCATATACATTTATAGCTGGCTGAGTGTCCTCCTCGATCAGAATCTAGTCACCAGCAAACTAGTGGGGCAATGCAAGGTTGGCTACAACACTACAACAGTCCAAGTGGGACCTTGACCTCTAATAAGGAAGAAAGTCCAGCAGAAGGATGGAGTCTTTCTATGGATGTTTTATTGAATATTAGTAATGTTGTTGGGTTAGCATAATTAGTGCCAGGGTATTATCTCCAAAGCACTGTACTCCTAGTGTATTCTTGAACTGCCAGCAGCCAGTAAGTTTGAACTACATCATGCTTTCCCTCTAGAGGACTCAACTAAAACTACAACCAACATAAAGTAGGAGAAAGATTTAACCCCTTAAGGACCATATTTCTGGAATAAAAGGGAATCATGACATGTCACACATGTCATGTGTCCTTAAGGGGTTAATAAGGCAAAACAGGTGTTATTTTTAGTGCAACGAGCTAAGTTCTGTGAGACTTTCTATTGATTTCCATGGTGATTGCTTTTTATTTAGCACTTTTCTCTAAAATAGTATTTGTCTTTCCTTAAATAAATTTCCACCAAGATCAAATTAAGCAGCTAAATGCACTGTAGGAATGTTCCAAATAGGGAGTTAACATGTGACACACAAAACAAGTACAGCAAATTTGAAAACTATATATATTTTTAATAAATTAGGATAAAGTTTAACGTTTCAAACATTTCTTATGCTGTTGACACAAAGAATGCAAAAAAATAAAATAAATTAAGGAACCTCATATTCCTTTCTCTCTTCCTTCACACTAATAAAGATATTTAATAATTTAATAATTACTCCACACATCTAAGCTAGTTAATCCACGGAGTTTATTATGTTAGCAGCAAGAATGGAGGATATAATTATTTCCTTTGTATGTCATGTGCCAACTGTGGACAATATATGGTTAAAAATATATATATATTGTGAAGAATAGGCCACACATCTGTCTACATTATGACTGCATATGAGTATTTTTTCTAATTCTCTTGTGTGAGTGTGTAAATGCGTGTTGATGAGTGCTTGTGGATGTATGTCATTGCCAAAGTACCTTGCTTTTTGTTCTTAAACTATGTAGTCCGTGTATTCATGCTCAACTGAATACCAGCTCTCTATAAAACTACGAAAACAGCATATTCTTTCAGATAATGACCTTTGACTTCAGCACGTATGCAAACTCATCCACAGTAACCTAAATGTAAATGTAAATGGTTTTCTGTCAATGCTTGTAGCTCATATTGCTGTTTTTTTCGAAGGCATTCATTCGGCATGTTGGATTCAGTAAATACAAGTTTCTAGCATGATTCAAGTTTGTTATCTTTGCTACAGATTTATTGATTTAATACATAAATATTAACTTACAAAATTGTATTACTCACTAGAGGATGGGAACATTAACAATTGCCTTCACTTATAATCAATATCAGCAAAAGTAAAAGCAAAACACTGGTTTGGAATGAAATTATACTTGGAATGAAAGCACATCATACTTGCACGATGTATGATATAAAATGTCTGCATCTTGGGCCAGCTAAATTGTTCACAACTACATAGATACCATTTTTTTTATAAAAGAAAGAACTGAGTGCAAAAATGTTGGAATCAAAAAGTCTAATTGCAATGTACAAGATTCCTGTTTATAGCTCTATGCTGCTTGCTTGGCAGCATAAACTGTCGGCGTGGAGTAGGTTGTGTGTACATGGTTCTGTGCTCTCATAAGAAAACCAAAAGTTCTATCCCGAAATGATAAGCTTGCAGTTGTTTTTCAATGATGCTTTATTAACATTCTTTCAGCACAAAACACTAAGAAACTAGGACACCATAACACTTAATCAATACATTTGCTGGCAGTTTGATTATGTCAAATTTTGGGTAAAACATTTTTACTGATGAAGCATAAAAGACAAGATACTATCATTAGCAAAGAAAAACTAAAAAGGGTAAAAATATAACATCATCATATTATCAACAATACCATTCAACCAGAATGTAGCAGAGCTCCCTGTACCCCAGCTGGGTACCTCCACCAAGGACTGTTTCCTAGCTGGAACAGGGGAAAACCTTAGCGCTTCTGCCCCAGAAGCCATGGCTTGACTGGGGTCCTCATGGAGCCTCTCTGTCCTGGAACAGGATAGGGGATTAGCTCTATTCCCTCCCAGAGTCCTGGGAGCTTTTCCCCGCCCAAACCTCCACGAGCCGGAACAAGGTTCTGAGTAGTAATTAGCTCTTTGCCCTCCCAGTAACTAGACGACACATAGTTCTGGGAGTACAACTGATTTTAATGGGCCAAACTCGGCCTTTTATGCACAGACCCCAGTGCGGGCTCTCCATTTTATTGAACACAAACCTCTCCCAGAAATCTCTGGGCCTGGGAGATAATTGCATTAAAGAGCGGTGAGCTAATTATCGCCCTGGAACAGAGAGCCAAACACAAAAATATAAAAACATAAAAGTACCCCAAAACATAAAAAAAACATAAAATAATCCCACAAATAATACATCTTTAACCCCTTAAGGACTGAGCCAGTTGTACAAGTTGTGATCAATGAACACTGGCCAAACTTATCGTTCAAATCTGTTTTTTTGGACAGTCTGTGGTGCAATTCAGGTCTGGGGAACAGACGGGCCAGTCCATAGCATCAATGCCTTCGTCACACTCCAGCCACATGAGGTCTAGCATTGTCTTGCATTAGGAGGAACCCAGGCCAACCGCACAAGCATATGGTCTCACAAGGGGTCTGAGGATCTCATCTCTGTACCTAATAGCAATCAGGCTACCTCTGGTGAGCACATGGAGGGCTGTGCGGCCCCCCAAAGAAATGCCAGCACACACCATTCCTGACCCACTGCCAAACCGGTCATGCTGAAGGATGTTGCAGGTAGCAGAACGTTCTCCACGGCGTCTCCAGAGGCTGTCACGTCTGTCACATGTGCTCAGTGTGAACCTGCTTTCATCTGTGAAAAGCACAGGGCGCCAGTGGCGAATTTGCCAATCTTGGTGTTCTCTGGCAAATGCCAAACGTCCAGCACGGTGTTGGGCTGTAAGCACAACCCCCACCTGTGGACATCGGGCCCTCATACCACCCTCATGGAGTCTGTTTCTGACCGTTTGAGCAGACACATGCATATTTGCGGCCTGCTAGAGGTCATTTTGCAGGGCTCTGGCAGTGCTCCTCCTGTTCCTCCTTGCACAAAGGCTGAGGTTGCGGTCCTGCTGCTGGGTTGTTGCCCTCCTACGGCCTCCTCCATGTCTCCTGGTAGTGCCTCCATGCTCTGGACACTACGCTGACAGACACAGCAAACCTTCTTGCCACACCTCACATTGATGTGCCATCCTGGATGAGCTGAACTACCTGAGCCACTTGTGTGGGTTGTAGATTCCGTCTCATGCTACCACTAGAGTGAAACCACCGCCAGCATTCAAAAGTGACCAAAACATCAGCCAGAAAGCATAGCAACTGAGAAGTGGTCTGTGGTCACCACTCCTTTATTGGGGGTGTCTTGCTAATTGCCTATAATTTCCACCTGTTGTCTATCCCATTTGCACAACAACATGTGAAATTGATTGTCACTCAGTGTTGCTTCCTAAGTGGACAGTTTGATTTCACAAAAGTGTGATTGACTTGGAGTTACATTGTATTGTTTAAGTGTTCCCTTTATTTTTTTAAGCAGTGTATATATATATTTATATTTTCAGGTGATACTCGAAAAATTAGAATATTGTGCAAAAGTTCATTTATTTCAGTAATGCAACGTAAAAGGGGAAACTAATATATGAGATAGACGCATTACATGCAAAGCAAGATAGTTCAAGCCGTGATTTGTCATAAGTGTGATGATTATGGCTTACAACTCATGAAAAACCCAAATCCCCAATCTCAGTATATTAGAATATTGTGGAAAGGTGCAATATTCTAGGCTCACAGTGTCCCACTCTAATCAGCTAAGTAAACCATAACACCCGCAAAGGGTTTCTGAGCCTTTAAATCAGGCTTCCCCAAACTCCGGCCCTCCAGATGTTGCTGAACTACAACTCCCACGATTCTCCGCCTATTTGATTCATAGAATCATGGGAGCAACATCTGAATGGCCGGAGTTTGGGGAAACCTGCTTTAAATGGTCTCTCAGTCTGGTTCAGTAGGAATCACAATCATGGGGAAGACTGCTGACCTGAAAGTTGTGCAGAAAACCATCACTGACACCTTCCATAAGGAGGGAAAGCCTCAAAAGGTAATTGCGAAGGAAGTTGGATGTTCCCAAAGAGCTGTATCAAAGCACATTAATAGAAAGTTATGTGGAAGGGAAAAGTGTGGAAGAAAAAGGTGCACAAGCAGTAGGGATGACCGCAGCCTGGAGAGGATTATCAGGGAAAGGCCATTCAAATGTGTTGGGGACTTTCACACTGAGTAGACTGAGGCTAGAGTCAGTGCATCAAGAGCCATCTGCTGGTGTTGGTCCACTGTGGTTCATTAAGTCCAGGGTCAACGCAGCCATCTACCAGGAGATTTTGGAGCATTTCATGCTTCCTTCCGCAGACGAGCTTTATGGGGATGCTGACATTTTCCAACAGGACTTGGCACCTGCCCACACTGCCAAAAGCACCAAAGCCTGGTTCAATGACCGTGGGATTACTGTGCTTGATTGGTCAGCAAACTCACCTGACCTGAACCCCTTAGAGAATCTTTGGGGCATTGCCGAGAGAAATATGAGAGACATGAGACCGAACAATGCAGAAGAGTTGAAGGCCGCTGTTGAAGCATCCTGGTCTTCCATAGCACCTCAGCAGTGCCACAGGCTGATAGCTTCCATGCCATGCCGCATTGAAGCAGTAATTACTGCAAAAGGGGCCCAAACCAAGTACTGAGTCCATATGCATGCTTATACTTTTCAGAGGTCCGATATTGTACTATGTACACTCATTGTTTTATTGATTGCATGTAATATTCTAATTTACTGAGATTGTGGATTTGGGGTTTTCATGAGCTGTAAGCCATAATCATCGCATGGATCAACTAGTAATCCTGACATTACAACATGGCCATAGATCCTGTAGAATTTTGTCAGCACATAGCTGCTTGCGAGAGAAAGCTAGTGGAGAATGATCACCGTATGAATCAGTTTGCCCAGACTTTCAGTACGCTCCTTACTCGAACAGTGCATCTGCAACCTGCGGTTTCTCCAAACGTGTCACCTCCGCCTAATGTACCTCCTGTAGTACATAAGGCACCTACTATCTCCCTATCTCCTCCCCTGCATTTTGATGGTAATATTCAAGAATGCCGGGGATTTATTAATCAAATTGAGTATCATTTTGAGGCCTCACTGGGATCTTTTCCCACTGACAGAGCTAAAATTGGTTACCTGATGAACCAACTTAAAGGTAAAGCTTTAGCTTGGGCTAATCCGTTATGGGAGAGTAGTAGGAGCATTGGACACAATTACCAGGAATTCCTTGTGGAATTTAAACTTACGTTTGAACCATTAGGCAGGGAGGATGACGCCTCCACTGCCCTAATGCATATTAGACAAGGGAACCGGTCTATCTTGGATTATGCCATAGAATTTCGCACCTTGGCTTCCAAGGTAGACTGGACTATCAGCGGATTAATCTCAGCATTTAAAAAGGGATTATCTGAGACTATGTTGGATGAGATTGCTGCCAAAGAACTACCCAAAAAACTCAATGACTTTATTATGTTTATTATGCTAATTGATAATGGACTCAGAACCAAAAATAAAACCAGACATATGGCTTTGCCATTAGCACCTCATTTCTCCAGACCGGTTGTTCCTGACCTCTCTGTACAGTCCGAACCCGAACCTATGCAGTTGGGGGTCACTAGACTGTCCGAGGCAGAAAGACAACATCGGAGAAGAGAGAGGGTCCATGCATATATTGTGGTGAAAAGGGACATATGAGGAGTACTTGTCCCATAAGTCCAGAAAACTATCGCACCTAAGAACCTTAAGGGGATAGGTCTTAGGTGTAATGGATACGTCCTCTGGGAATAACAATAATAGATTTCTCCTTGATATTACGATCATAGTTGACAAAAAGAACTTTTCATGCAAGGCCCTGATGGACTCAGGTGCAGCAGGAAATTTAATTGATGTTCATTTTGTTAAAAAGAATGCTATACCTATCAAGGAGAGAATATCACCTCTGGCCGTTGAGGCTATTGACGGGAGACCACTCTCTCAACCCTTAATTATCCATGAAACCTTGCCCATTAACATGTCAATTGGTGCCTTACATAAGGAAGATATAATATTTCAAGTTATTGCATCTCCTTCTTGCCCTATCATATTAGGCTTTCCTTGGCTTAGTAAGCACAACCCTCATATTGACTGGGCTAATGGGGAAATATTGGAATGGGGCAAGTATTGTAATGGGAAGTGTATGTTACACCTCACCAAGAGAGTGGGTACCAAAAATTACCCACTACTACACCTCAAACCCCCGAAGTTCCCATACAATACTGGGAGGTAAAGGAAGTATTTAGTAAGAGTCAGAATGCTGAAATTAGTTCCATAGCGGTTGCGGCCTTGTACCGCTGAGGACTATTCGTGGGTTTGGTTCATGAGAATGGCCACCAGAGAGCTAGCATTCGGTTCCATTCGCATAAAGGGAAAGTGCTGAACCAGGGGCAGCCAGGGAAAGTTGCTAATGGAGGCTGGGCAGGGTAACTTCTAAACGGTGTCCCAGAACTGGGCCATAGTCGGTGGGCAGGAGGCCGGCTTCCACACTCCTCCAAGAGTCCATGGCAAACGTTTATGGGAAGGAGCGTTTGTCATACAGAATTTATAAGACTGAAGAAACCAAGCACAAACAAGGAAAATGGGTCATAAGATCTGGAGTGCCAAAAGTTGCCTACCCCTGGCATAGGCTGATGATGTACTTTTATAGTTTCATGTAGCAGATTATGATATATGCTGGTTAGTTTGATGAAACCTGAGTACAGAATATTAGTTAGTCCTATTGATGATTGTGACTTTTGAATGGTGACTTATCAAGATAAATGATTGCTCAACCAACATCAATTGATTATTTCAGCCACCAATTAACATAAACTCAGTAAAGTAAAACAATATTTCTGTTAAAATCTACAAGTGACTTAAGCCATGACTTCATGTTACGAATTTTGAGTTGATATAATTGATCAAGGCCTTTACTGTAATTTGAATATCTTTATGCATATATGTGTACAATTTAAATCATTTTTACTTTACTATTAATAAGAAAGGTTTGAAATCAAGTATAATTTTTTTTCAGGCTGCAAATGAACATTATTGTTAATGGCCAACCTTCCTGATGTTCTCGTTTATGGGATTTCTGTGGTTGGTCCTTTCTCTTATTCTCTCCCTCATTTCGGGCTTCAGTCTCATGTCACCAGCCTGGTTTACACATGGTGATGTTTCATTTGGCGTCTTTGTCCAGTGTCGTGGACCAGTCAATGCTCCATGCAACCAGACATGCATTGTTTACAGGACCTTGGAAGAAATTCCTGATCTATTCTCAAAGGTATCCATCCAGATGAATCGGTGCACACATAGAAATGTTTTAAACTGTATTAGCACGTGTTCCATTATACATGCCCTGCAAAGTATTTTTGGGAGAAATAACTGGATCAGATAACTGTAAGCAGTAGTAGCCTTAAACACAGTGTGGCTTATGGTGTGATGAGATCTTATTCATTTTATGAGATTTGTGATTTAAAATTTCCTTGAACAATGTTTAAATGTTTGTTTTTTGTCAATCTGAGCATTGTTTAAATATTTCACGTGTACCCCGATTTCTATTTGTGCATGTTTATAAACTTTGGTTATTTCAGAACCATTACCATAAAATAACGGATGGCTATGCTGTGTTCCCAAGTATATATATAAAAGAACTTAAATGGGTTCAGGCTTTAAAAAAAAATAAAAAATTATAATGACTGCCCAAGCACATAATCTGCCATTAAGAAATGAATATGACACAGTTATGTTTCTTAGATTACAGCCATTATACTTTTTGCTGGTTGGCTGATACTGAGTTTTGGAGCTTTGTTGGTTTTGTCGTGGACCATCATACCTGCAGGACTATGCCAAAGGAGGTTGTGCACCCCAGCAAGATATGCCCAGACTGCAGCAGGTACAGACTTTGCTTAATGCTGTTATGTACTTATGATAAATGTGAGAAAATCTATTGACAGGAAGATATTTGAGAAAGCAGTGAGGAATAGACTCAAAAATTTTTTTACCTGCTTGTGGAAAATCCACTATATTCTATGTTTTTGCTTCTCATAAATAGTTTGTTTTAATAAAATAACTATTATTGCTCAAACCTTCATTGTACATGGTCTCAGCAGGGTTTCAGTTGGATAAAACTATCATTAAGACTAAAATCTGTGATACGTGATTAAACAACATGTCGAAACGCTGTAGTAGTGCTGACCTTGACTATGTTTTAGTAAAATAATTATTTTTATTTGCATCCGTATCACTGGCTCATCCTTATTATTTTAGTGGTCAGAGTAGTCTCATTCAAACATTCAATTCATCTCTTTGAGGAGATGCTGATTGGCCAGGGCGGTGTTTGAATCATGCTGGCTCTGCCCCTGATCTGCCTCCTTGTCAGCCTCAGCCAATCCTATGGGGAAGCATTGTGATTGGATCAGGCTACCACTTCTGATGATGTCAGCAGACAACTTGTTTTTCTGAGGCAAACAGCATGTAGGCTTCAGCTTCAGGCTTGAATACAGTAAGATTTTGCTATATTTATGGAGGCATGAAGGGCTCAGGGGGGCTAGATGGTGGTTTTAACACTATAAGGTCAGGAATACATGTTTGTCTTCCTGACCCTATAGTGATCCTTTAAGGGTTTAAAAGTTGTGGCAAATGGAGATATATATAAAAAAAAGCACAAATAGAGTGATTTTATCAACTGGATGACTAAGTCCTTTTTCTTTTTCTGCTTTATAGTTGTTGTCACCATCCTAGGGTTGCTGATCTTCCCATTCAGTCTCGGTTCTCCATTTGCTAAACAGATCTGCATCTCATCCTTTATTTACATGAGTGGAAAGTGTTTCCTCGGTTGGGGTTATATGATGGCTATCATTACGGTGCTGCTCTCCTGCTTCCTTCCCATCATTGGACGGTACAATCTAAATGAGATCAAGATACTGAGGTCAAAGATTACAAGGAGTATGGTGTGAACGTGACAGTATATTGCGAATCAATTAACGTTCCGGCAGCATATGGATACAGGATATTATTGTCACATCAACCATGTGTAACTCAACATACAGCCTTATCAAATTCCATCAATGGGTGGGTTATTTTATGGGCATGGATCTTTCATCAATAAGTACTTTACATTGAAATGTAGAACCTGCGGACAGATTGAATGGGTGTGATGAATTTCATAGTAACATATTTCTTGCCATTCACTAGTAATTTAATTTTAATGTAACGGAAAACTACAAATACAGAAAAGCATTTTCCCCAAGAATTGTTCTGTTCCCAAATAAATAGCTCAAAGAACATAAGCATCAAGGGGAAATACTTAGCAGTCACTGTCCCGTACTTGAATGGAGTCTAATCTTTGTTGTTAAATGCCTATCAAAGAGTTGTCTTGGAATTTACTGACGTACCATTTTAACTACAAAGTGACTTCTCAAACCAGTAATTAGGCAAGGTGCAAAATAATGCCTTCCATCATCCTTGATGTGCAGTCTAATATTTAATGAACTACAGTCCATAAAGCCCCACTTAGCCTTCTTTATACTCCAGAAAGAATTTTCACTCAGGAGAAAAACAAATGTATCTGCCAGGGCTCCATTTAATTCCCTGTCTTCACACAGTAACGAAACGTCAAAGAAGAAAACATTGCTGCATTCTAACAGCATACTTACCAACTTTCCAAATGCCTAAAGAAAGTACATTTCAAAGTGCATCTGTCTTTTTTTTTTTGCATGCTTTGGAAAGGAACCCCCAAAATTAACTGAGGGGTGCCGATTTAAATGGCCAAAGGGTGCAATGGAAAGCCCGTTTTACCTACCTTAAGCATGCAGCTGCCTCCATCTTCCACTTGGTCTTCTTTAGCTACTGGCTTCCTTTGCCTGGAGCTGCATCAGTGATCTACAGTCGTGCATGCGCAAAAGTACAACACTGAGATCCCACAAAAGCCTACATAGATGATGTCTTGATGAGCAATATCATGAATGAATCCCATGACCGATACTTGTGATGACAGCTGGGACTGGACAAAAGTTGACAGTGGAGTTAGTCCATAATTAATCTTATTGTATCTTTGGTGCTTTGTTGGAATTTAAGAACAATTCTAACACAGTCAGCATCAGTATTTCATAATGAATATATCTTTATGAAATGCTGAAAAAGTAGAGAGCCACTTTAATTTTAAGGGGTTGTTTGGAGGTGTGGCCATGGTCTGGGCTAGTAGGGAACATTTTAGGTGAGTTTTGTAATCTACCTCTGAAAGCACCCTAATGCAATTTTAAGAGACTAAGCCTGTCACTTTATGTCAATATTTAGGTAATTTTGTGAACTACCTCTGAAAGCTCCTTCATTAATTTTAAGAGAGAACGCCTGTGCAACGACTGCAGACAGGCATGTAAAAACATAGGGCTATAACACAAAGTAACTTGATCAGCAATTCCAGTCAGGATATACTATGACTCAACACACAGTGTTTAAGTAAAACTATATATAAACGCTTAGAAATATACGTATTACCAGGCCTGTGTGCAAATATAAAATAGTCAGAGACAAGCCAAGGTTGGGATTCAGGAAGAGACAGAAGCGAGTAGACAGGCTAATAGCTCAAGGATGCCAGAAATAAAGAAGTCAATAACAACTGGTTCATAAATGCCGAATAGAAATACAAGATAAATGCACTCTCTGATTACCAGTAAGTGGAAACCATGACAGGGCACTGATAAAAACCTAAAACTTATTTAAATAGCCCTAAAATGGCAGGGATTAGCTAGAATTGACCTTGTGATTTTAAAAAGTATGTCCGTGTCAATGAAGCGATGACGCATGCACATTTGTGTCAATCATGTCAGCTGAGGAGGTGGAGCTATAAACATGCTCCATCAGGAGATGGCCATAGAATGTCACATCGACACCCAACTCCATAGTAGGTGGACCGGATCTGCCACATCTGCAAGGTAGGGTGCCTTCTGTGGTTGTAGTTGGACTGATTGGAAACAGTCATGTGATTTCGCCTCTTTGATGTCTACATGAATAAACACAGCTGACAATGCACCACGTGGGTTTCTTGGATGTGCTCACACTACTGTAAATGAGAGATACACTGTATATCCATTTCACTTAATTGAATTGGTTATAATGCCAATAATGCCTGGTGCTGCCTCTCCGTTCAACGTTTAACTATTTCTGAGCAGCCTAACACTAAATATGGGTCCAAGGCCTCTCCACTGGAGGTATGGCTAAAGCAGAGATTACACAATTGCTTCTAGCCATACCAATTCATACCAGTAGTAGGTGTTGTGAAAGGCTGAAGGAGTCAGCTTACACTCTCAGGCAATCATAGTCACCCAATGCTGCTCAGGATAATGCTTCCACAGTAGCCCAAGCAGCATTAAACTATTAAAAATGGTTTAACACTGAATGGAAGGACAGTGCCATGGGAGTCCAGGCACTATACCCACTTCAATTAGAAGAAGCTATTCCAGTGCATAAATTTCCCTTTAATGGGAGTACCAAGTCTGGCTAAGTGGTTTAAGCTATTTCCTGGTCTGTTAATAAATTATTACAAAAAATGCAAACCATTTGTTAACAAAGGTAGGTATTTCAAACTGGAGTATCACTTTTATTTACTTTAATGCATTATCTATTTGATGCAGTAAAAATGTGAGTAATATCTATCCCTTGTAAATATTGTTGAGAGATGGAAGAGTTGCATGGATTCATTTCTTGAGCACTGACTGTGGATGCATGGCAATGTTTAATACCCAACTGTACTGGTTGTATTGAAAGAAACTATAGCTCTAGTATCGTTTCTCTTGTGTGAGTAATACAGGTTTATTCACTAATGAGAGAATTGCTGAGAATAGTGAATTAATCTCCAAATTAGAAATAATCCAAGTCCAGATTTCATTTCTACTATTCTTGCCTAATGTTTGAAATTCACTTTCAATTCCCAACAATTCTCACTTTAGTAAATAATCCTGTTTGATCAATGCACTGTAGTTAGTAAGATATGATATCCTGCCATCCATTCAAACAACTAGCAATATCATAAACATGTTTTTTAAAAATGGTCAAATATTACAGCAAATTAAAGTGTTTTATAAATTGATGATGTAACTGTATGTAGACATTATGCTGAAATACAGAGATTTTTACAATCTGCCATTTCTTATAAAGCTGTATTTCTAACAATGCCATGAGGATTCTTAGAAATACCTAGAAAGGGCATTTGACAATTTTTTATTAAACTATTTTTGTTGCACCTAATGTATGTGACAACATTTTTTTTTGCTTTTATGCTATTATTTCAGACTCTGTGTTTTATATTGCACCATAATAGATATGGTAATAGGTCTAATATATTTAATCTCTCCAATATTTCTGCAAAGGACGAACAGACATCTCCAAAATTACATTTGTGTAAATTTATACTGTTTGAATTTCCATGTTACATCCCTAAACTGCTGCTTGACACATTTTATATTATTTTTAGATAAGTCAGTACTGAAGGGGTTAATTGATCTAATTTCTACATATTTTATTTAAATATAATAAGGACTTTAGCATATATAAATGTACATGCTTATGGAAGCCCTGTCTTTAAAAGAAAGAGAGAAAATGGCACGATGGGTGTCAGGGTTACTGTCCCAAACATCCTAATAAATGTGTATGATTCTATCAACTTAAAGAAACGTGAAATTAAAACTAGCATACAATACTTAATATAAAATAAAAGTTACACAGTCAGTTCCATATTACTATTGCCCCTTAAAGGGACACTATAGTCACCAGAACAACTACAGCTTATCAAACTTGTTCTGTAAACACTGTCTTTTCAGAGAAAATGCAGTGTTTACATTACAGCCTAGTGATAACTTCACTGGCCACTCCTCAGATGGCTGTTAGAGATCCTTCCTGGGTCATGGCTGCCTAAAATGCATCCAAACATTCAGTATCTCCTCCCTCTGGATGCAGACACTGAACTTTCCTCATAGAGATTCATTGATTCAATTCATCTCTATGAGGAGATGCTGATTGGCCAGGACTGTGTTTGAATCATGCTGGCTCTGCCCCTGATCTGCCTCTTTGTCAGTCTTAGCCGATCCTATGGGAAAGCATTGTGATTGGATCAGGCTACCACTTCTGCTGATGTCAGCAGGCAGTGGGCAGGTCTAAAGTAAACAGTGACAAAGTAAGTAGTTCCAGGCTTGAATACAAGTAAGATTTCTATATTTAGGGAGGCATGAGGGGCCCAGGGTGGCTAGATGGCGGATTTTAACCCTAAGGGTCAGGAATACATGTTTGTGTTCCTGGCCCTATAGTGCTCCTTTAAGTAAATAAAATGAAGGAAAACTATTCTAAGGGGAGATGAAGAACTAGCAAAGAATACCAGTCAAAAGGTTTTGCGAATAAGACCTTTATGATTGGGATCCAGAGACTGGATATATAGCTCCCAAACTGACCTTAAATTTGAAATTCAATGTGAATTCTCATATTAGTGAATAACCCGGTTTTATACCCCATTTTCTGTAGAGTGAGAAACAGAGTAGCAAATCACCAAGGTGTGCTTGTCTGGTGAAATCAAGGTATGTTGCTATAAAACACAAACAGTCAGTGGCACTGAAATGTGTAAAGGGACTCAATATATGTTGGACTTTCTGTCCAGATTTCCATTATTGGTGAGCAGCCCCCAAAACAAAAAAGTAAATCAGCCCCTTCCTTCCCACATTTCAGACATTTACAAGAGTCCTTGTTAGAAGCTAGGAGGTAAGTAGGCATGCAAAGCAAGCCACAGATTAACAAATAAGTATATCTGCAGGTAAACTTCGATGAGAGAGATTATATTCATAACTAAATAATTGCTCTGGTCCGTAAAGGGTTGTAATACTAAAAAGAAAGTCCTTAAGAGGTTAAATACTAAAGCACTTACAAAGCTCTGCCTTAGGTGTGGCAGCATTTTGTAACCTCTACCTACATGACAAGGAGACAGGTGCAGCCTGGTATTTGGGTATGTTTTTGTGTAAGAAAAGTGTAGTAGGAACAGGAAACTGTCAGGAATGTGTTTATTCTGTTATGTGCAGCAAAACAAACTATCTTGCATTTGTAGAAGTGAAACCTCAAGTTCTTGTTTATTATAATTCTGGAGAGGCTTGCCATGCAGTGAAAGCACGGACAGTTCAAGTCCAAATTGAAAAGCAGGCTATGGATGTTTTTTTGTTGTTTTTTAAAGAAGTCATTACATACCTTCCAAGTGTCCATATTTCGGAGGGGCATTCCCTAATTTGGGCACAAATCCCTCTGTTGTCCCTCTTTTCAATCCTAATGTCCCATAAATGTTGGTGTATCTGAGTGTATAATAGAACTCCACAGCAAGAATACTCACAGCAGTGTGTCTTGGAACTCCAATAAATATGTTTAGAATCAGTCTGTGTAAATCAGACAAACTGTTGTTATTCTAAATTACATTTTAGTTGCATAAATTGTTATTAGTAAGTCACGAAAAATCTCTCAGAACAGCGCTGCCCCTGGCCATACACAGTACTAGTTTGTTTTCAGGGCTATTTACTATAGTGAGAAATTAAAGTGAATTTCAAATTTATGGCCAAAATAGTCCAACTAAAACCATAGCTGACGTAAAGAATGTCTCCAGCTCGGCTATTTTGACCTTAATAAATATTAAATTTACTTTGAATTCTCACTTTAGTGAATAATCCTGTACGCGTCTGCTTTGCTCTACAAGCAGTTTTATTTTTCATTGAGTTTCTTTGAGAAGATTTTGTGCAGTACTACCCAATCCCCACCAGGTGTCACTATTATAAAAGGACTACAATCACTTCTCTTTGGTCTGCTCCCATGCAAAAATAGCATTTTCTTTTGTGAGCTTTTTCCAAGATTTATACTTTGTACCCAATCATTATAAAAGAAACAAGGCCTACTACTCGCACACAAAGAAATAATAATGTACGTAGTACGCAAGTAACAACAATAAGTTTTATTTATTTGAAAATACATATACCATATAGAATATATTTTTTTTTTAGAGTTTGTCTCTCTGAACAACAGTAAAGAACACTTTACATTAAAAAAAATAAAACATGAATAGAATCATATAAAAACATTTTACCATCATGTTGAGTTCTGAAAGTGGCAACAAGTTCACAAACATTAAATACTTTGAGGCAAGGAACAATGTGTTTGCTGCTTTAAATGCAGAGGTACACTGTACCATTCTTGCATTCTTTATCCATGCGTTGATAAATGGACATGATGTATTACAGACACAATGCAATTTGCCAAAGGTTGAGGCATTAAGCATCATACATACATAGAAGTATTATGTGTACACATATAAATAAGTACATATGTGTGTGCATGTATGTATATATAAAATATATAATACACATACACAAGTGACATTAAAACACATGCAACAAGTAACTGCATAAAGACAGGACCAAACCAGCCTCCCTGAAGAATCTGTATCCATTTTTTTCACACATACCAAAAAGAGGAGAATAAAATAAAATATAAATCTGTGCTAGCTAAATAGTATGGAATGGTAATAATATTTGAGGGGGAAAAAAACCTTCCCAAAACCATAATTGGAATATACAATCAAATAATGGCTTGTGGCGATGGGTACTTTAGTCCACAGGGGGTAAATGTACTTTAAAACACATTGGGTAAACTCGGTGCCCTTTAACATTTAATAAAATAAAATAAACGTCTGGGAGCAAAATGATTTGTATATTGAAGCTGCATTATTAGCATGCATAACTCCTTTGTGCTGTTGGAAAGGTGTGAAATACAGTGTTGGGTTTCCCCTGTGCTGGGATTAAAATATGCTAGAGGTGCACTGAGAATTGGCTTGTACAAGCTCAACGTTGGACAGTTTGGTCTTGATTATGCTGGAACTCAACATATGCTAAATGTGTTTACATAACATTATTCAGATTCTGAACACTCTGTAAAAGAAATGCACTCTAGAAAATATAGTCATTGCTACCTGGAAACATATCACATCTGTACTGCCCAAAAAAATATGCAGGCTCTGTTTTGTTGCATCGTCATAACACTCATACTGAGCTGTTGTAGAATTTGAGCACTCCAACACAATATTTCCTCTCCACCTTGTTTAAAGAGTTTATACTTTGCAGTCAGTTATAGCTCTTTTAAATTCTAAACTTGTTCTAGATCAGTTACTGAAATCAGCTTAGTGAATGATGACCTCATAGAAAAGAAAAGCTTTCATTTCTTTAAGACATTTGGCATATTTGGAGTGGTAAGATAAGTACTGGATACCTCACTGTTTTCATAACCAACACTACTTCATATAGCCTGGAATTTTGAGGTTCTGAAATGTGGCCATCTGTTTTTTGTTGTTGTTGGTTTTTTTTTTTTTTTAAAGTATCCACCATGAAAATATCTTGCTTGACTTGTATGTGATATATTGTGCAATATTCTCACAGAAAACTATTGTTATCTGCCTTGTGTAATAGAGATATTTTGTGCCACATAACAAACTTAAGTGAACCTACATACATAAGAAAAAGAATCAGAAAAATATAAAACATGGCGGCAAACCCAGTGCGCCCCAATTTTCCATGGTTTAGAATGCAAGATAAAATAGAGCCGTGGAGTGCTCAAGTACTACCTCAGCTTTTTGTTTGGCAGAAATAAAACACTTACGAATGATAAATATAGCAAGAGACAATTTGTTATATGCCTTGTGATCCATATCGTTCATAAAAATGAAAACTTTCTTTGAAAAATAACACCATATTTAAGTGTTTTGTCCTCTCCACATTCACACTCACACACGCAAACAGAGACAAGTATCCTCTGAAAACATTTAAAAGATATGTCTGCAACATTTAAGAGATATCTCCATTGATATGAGTGACGCACTAACTTTTACAAGGACATACGGAAATGTACAGTAAATAGAATAAATAAATAAATAATATCTTTTACCCTTTGCGTTAGTTATTGAAAAACACTGATATTCAGGAACACAGATATACTCTGAAACAGCATAGTATAGTTAGTAGTTAGCAGACACTTAATAATGTAGAAAGGTTTTAGAGCCATCATAAACATTGTAACAGTGTGCCATGAGATATTTTGTTATGTGTTTCATAAACAAAAATCCTGGACAGACGCTCTCCTCATAAATTGTCCTTATAATGTAGCAAGAAAATAAATAGGTACAGCTACTGAGCTACTTGTCTGAGACCAAATTTCAGCTCCCTGACAAAATATTGAAAGTTATTGGAATTTAAGATTGGCATTTATTGGTTTCCAAGTGAAACAAGAATACAGCTCCCATGTTGCTATGCTTGCTGTAATTTGACAAAAGACTTTGGTTAGGGATGACTAATATGTACTACAACTTCCATTATGCTTTTGCCAGTTATAAGGCTAGGAAAGCCTAAAAAAAAGCCATGTCACTATCTTTTAAATTAGTAATTTACCACAACAACACACTGCAGTAAAAATGTTTGTGCCAGGAGTACCCTGGAACCCCCAAATGTAAGTTGTCAAACTGCTGTTTGACTTCTTACCTGGGGTCAGTAGATCTGAGCTGGAGGCTTCTGCATGGAACTTCTGCTAGCTCTCCAGGGCTAGTTCATTGGATAAGAGCATCAGTTGACTGTTCTAGGCCAATGAGGTAAGCCTTACACTGTCAAGCTTAATTCAGACAGAGACCTACCAGATCTCTGAGAGCAAGGAAACAGCACCTGGCACACCACATGTAAGTCAAAATTACATTGCAGGGGGCACCAGAGCATTCCTGGCACCATATCCACTGCAACAAGTTGTAGTGGTTATCATGCTTGAAGTTCTTTTAATGTGTTTTCAGGATCCTATATCTGATGAATTAATTTTAACTATTAATTTACAGCATTTTAAGACAAGTTGGCTAGATTTGAGGCATAGCTGCTCTGTCCAGATTGATATGTTGATTACCTGGCTAGGTGCTGAGAGAGGTCTGTATGCAGGGCTTCCTGGAGGCTCACACAGCACATTCAACATTGGGATAATATCTTTTCACTATTATATATATAGGATAATCTAATGACAGCCTCAATCTGCTGTAAAGTGTAGACATTCTGGGACAAAAAAAAAAAGAGTTAAAACTCAATCATGCTATATGCCTTTCAGATATATATTTTGAGCCTCTCTCTCCTATATGTGCTCTTTTATATAAACAGATCCGAAACTGAAGTATTGCTGCTTCATCACATATTAAAGGGACACTCTAAGCTCCATTTACAGATCATGCCACTGCAATCTCAGTACTTATTTTTCTACCATGAAGGTGTTAAAACACTTTGATTCTTTTTATGCACACCTACTCACAGATCTAACATGAACATATGGTTTCATTTTGAATTAGATCTTATAACACACTGTGTTTACTTTAAAAATTGTTATCTCCTGCTCTGTTAATTGAACGTTAATCACACAAAGGAGGCTATTAACAGAGCAGAAGATAAGTAAATTCTAAATTAAACACACTGTACAAAAAGGGAAGCTAAACATGTTAAACTCTCTTTCAGGAAGTTTGTAGGGAGGCTGTATGAGTCTTGCCAGAGAATTCAGCAGTGAGACTACATGATAATATTTTCACAAAAACACTTAAAGAGACACTATAGTTAACCAGACCACTTCAGCTCAATTAAGTGGTCTGGGTGCCAGGTCCCCCAGGTTTTAACCCTTCAGATGTAAACATAGCAGTTTCAGAGAAACTGCTATGTTTACATTGCAGGGTTAATCCAGCCTCTAGTGGCTGTCTTCCTGACAGCCGCTAGAGGCGCTTCTGCGACGCTGGATGCAAAAATCGCATACAGCGTGCAGAACATCCATAGGAAAGCATTGAGAAATGCTTTCCTATGGACTGTTTGAATGCACGCGTGGCTCTTGCCCCGCATACACATTCCGCTCCACTTGGGAGCTGATGCCGGCTGGGAAGGAGAGAACACCAGCGCCAAGGGAGCTGGGGTTTTAACCCCTTCAGCGCCAAGGGAGGGAGGCCCTGAGGGTGGGGGGGTCCTAAGTGTTATATAGTGTCAGGAAAACGAGTTTGTTTTCCTGACACTATAGTGATCCTTTAAGTTTAAGCTAAAGTTGTTTTGGTGCTTAGTGTGTCACTTTAAATTTTCTGCTGAATTTGTGCTACATAGAGCTGATAAACGTCTTAGGGATTCTTGTTTTTTTTTCAAAAATATACCTTAATACAATGTTTCCGCTACCATTCTTTTATTTTATTATTTTTTATTATTATTAATGATCTGTGCTTATTAATAATATTTGTTTTTATATTGAAGCAGTAGCAGTTGTGTCTACCTCCCCCTTCTTTATCAATGTTAAACTAAAGATGTTATTTCTGTTATAATTTTATAATAAACAATAAAAAATAATAGTTAAAATCTCAAAATTAGTAGTGACTGGCTGGCACTGATGTGTT